CTTTCGTAGTGCGATATAAATATATATTCAATATCGAAAAAGAGCTTTGCCTTTAACCGCTCTACGGTTTACAACGATATTGCACGGAACTCATATTGACTAACCTTTATTTCGATCAATAATAGCGATTTCTAAACCAAGCGTAGGTTCTCGTGTACTATTTGTGCTGTTGCTATCAGCTGGTACACCAGTAACGCCATAACACTCTTCATCTTCGATGAAAGAGAGCAAGCATTCACGTGATCTACAGCACTGCGTATTGCATTGGCCTTCATCTTCCGACTGCTGAGAAAATTTGTAAAACTCGCGAGTTGTTCTGGCAGGGAGGAGAAGGACATGAAAGCTGGGTACAAAGCGTTTTGGACACCTCGGGTTGGTGACTTGTGACGTGTGCCTGATAAAGTCTGTTGTTCCTATAAGTAAAATTCAAATATAATTTCATTGAGTCGTAGTGCTAATATCCAATAATAAAATCAAAACGGGTAAGAAAATAATACGTTTGTGACACGAAAAAGACTATGGTTTATAGGAAATAAAATTGTTGTTTGGATTCCATTTAGGAATAAAATCATACGTCAATAAATGCATGCGTGTTAAGCTTGACCAGGTAACCCTGCTATTTTATGTGATTAAACTGGTAGCTAGCAGCTGTCGACGGTTATCTTGCAGTGCTTTACTTATCGGTGGTAGAGAAAATGAAAGGAGGTTTCTTCACTAGAAGGCACTTTATGATTTTTAAGACTGTAAGAGTGCTCATATTCTTTAAGTGTTAGGAGAGCAGAGGCGGGATTTTTCACCTGTAGACGATCACGATGCAGCACCTGAACCGATGTCAATTAATAATTTCACACCAATGTCGAAGCGTACTGGTGATAATAATTACTTTTTACAATTTTATAGTATCCTATCGAAACAAAAGGAGAGAAATGGGGTAAACATGTTTGGGATTGGTTAGCAGTTGAATTTAAATCTCAAACTAGGCGATGCGCTGACGATGCTTAGATACCAAAGTGTACTTATCGGTAGACTTCAAAAAAAGCCTGGCGTATTAAGTTTATTTAGTCACTCTTTACGTCTAGCGTAGGTTTAGTCTTTTGATTTATGTGCGATTTACAAGAGAATTCAGGTCCTACCCGAGGACAAAATTTCGGTATTAGACAGGTTGCATTTTATCAAAATGTCTTTCAACTACAAGAATTTTAACGCATACATCAAAATATTTGGCACACTCGTCTGTTTTAGGATCACCTCGAATCGCTTCGTTAGTCCTGGAGATCCTTGAGACGTGTGTTTGAGAGATTTTGTATAGTGCCACCTGTCCGAGCGATAAAATCCTTTCAAAATATTTCACGCAATTTAGCATTTCAATAACACTTTCACTTGAATAATTTGCACTCTGGCGTGTTTTTCTTCGCAGAGCAAAGTACAAGCCCCCTCAAAAAGCGCGTACATTGCCGTCCGTCTGAGGTTAAAATCTGCAATCGTTTATTCTTCCTAAAGTAAGTCTTTCTATGCCAACTGATGAAATAAAAGTAACCCCATCTAACCGTCGTTTTCAACCTTGAAATTCGACCAAATATTACAAGGCTTCAAATATGAGAGGAAAAATAGAAACCTAACGCATCCAGAAAATGATCAACAAAGCCTTCGAATGTCGAAAACGTCAAGTGACTTAAATATTTAAGGGCCTATTTACACGGTAAGAAACGTACAACTCGCTTACGACTTAAATATTTAAGCTTGTCGCATGCGACAAAGTCGTGCCGTGTAAATAGGCCTTAAGAGACTTGAAATGTCTTGCAAAAGCCTTGAACAACCCAATCCAAAATGTTATCTTTTAAGATTCCATTTTCCTCATCTTCACGGACGTTTTGATTCTTTTAATTCCTTGACGATGGCACTCGAAATCTGAGCCTCTTCGCCAATTTTTTTCTTTTGTTCCAAGAAATGTTTATCTGCTTGATTAATTTGATGAGCTGCAGGCCAAATGTGTACTTTTTGTCGTTTCTGACACTACTGGCAATCGTATAGACTAATCATGATAAGGCTGTGATTGCTGTGGTTGACGTACGTGGAGCAGTTGGGGAAGGACTGAATTGAATCAAACGATAACTTAAACCTTCCCAGCGTACTGGGGAAGCACTGCATGCACTCATTTTAAAGAAGTCTTTACGTTTATTGAAATGAATCAACAACCGAAAAATGTTTGATTGTGACGATGAGGACACTTAATCTGGAACGTCAATGAAAAAGATCAAATGACAGTTAGCGCTTCGCTTCAAGACACGAGTTGGTTTTTCTTCCACTAAACTCACCTCAAATTGGCATATGGAGTTTTGTGGAGGACGGAAAACCGTGAACCCGTTGGAAAACATTATAGCTATGACGAGAACCAACAAAAAAACGTGATTTGAAGAGGGAACACCTCTTGGATAAGATCATATACGCCTTTTCCTCTCAGAACGTTATATCACAACATAACTAATTTTGCTTCACAAACTTGGAAGGTAATTTTAGGATTTTTAAGGTGACGAAGAGGAACAAGTGGATACATCTGACTTAAAATTATGAAGTTAACTTAGGTCACACATAAATCAACTTTCCTTCACACTTTCCTAACGACAAAGCAGAACTATAAGTTATGTTGCATGATCTGGGTATGAAGTACAAAGTCGAAGTTTTAAGCAGGACTAAGAAAATTATTATTGTACTCTCTTTTGCAAAACGATTTGATACATGATACTTATTTTTGAAAATAAGTAAATTAGGGCTTGAATATTTTGATACTGTTGAGAGAGAGAGAGAGAGAGAGAAAAGATATTGTCTTGTTACCGTAAACGTGGTTGCCCGGAAGAAATCACGCAAGAAAGTTTTAATCAGAAATCAAAATGATATACGAGTTTGTTGTTTTAATTTTTGTTTTCTAAAGCTGGTCAATTTTATCAAATATTTCACCTGCATTTCTTGGGTTTCGCTGCAGCTGTCTTTCATCTTCCATTAACAATTTGTCCAGTATCTTGTGGCAAAGTTTCGGCTTGTCGCATGAAACACCATAACAATGAAAACCGCGCGAAAGTATCGCCAGTTCGCACGCATCATCTCTACAACATATATCCACACAGTCCTCTAAACCCGTCACGTTTCCAAACTTGCGGAAATTAAACGAGTTCCTTTTTGCGGTCGATTGCTCTCCCGTGCACGAGTTCGACTGGAGATCGTTGGCCTCTGAGTAAAAATAAAAACAAACGATTGGAAACATGAAACAAAGTTGGATCTTAACGTAAAGAGCGAAATCACTTGATGATCACGATTGTATCGAGGTAGTTACAAACAGCGATTCTTTACCGTGGCATACGGTGCATACTGCAAGGAGCCCCAAAATTAAAACATGTGTCCGAAAGCCGTAAGCATGTTGTGTGAATTCCAACATAGAGCATTTGTGTGTTGTAACAATGATACCGGTCAGGCGCTGAAGTCATACAAGCGAAACCAGCCTTCCTTTTAACCAACACCAATACTTCGCTTCACCATTGCAATTTTCAATCCACGTTAGAAACAAAAAGCCAGTGTTATGGTCAAATTTCGCTGAAACGCGACACGATTTTCGATTCTCTCGAATTAACTCCCGCGCTCGAATCCACAGTAAAAGCATTACGTAAGTTTCGAGTTATTTTTAAATCGTGACAATTGTTTTATAAATTCAACCAATCAGGGCGGTTCATTTTTATTTGCTTCACGCCCACTGGCTTAACCCTTTTCAGGTGGAAACATTTTTATCAGATCAGCTAATGAAAGAAAATCTTCGGACTTCTTTTAGCGCAATATTCAAATGTTCACAGCATTTCATAAGAAATTTAATACCGATTCAAGTAGACTGTCGAAATATTTTGTCACCCATTAGATTTTACCAAAAAAATTTTAACCCAAACGTTTAAATGCATTTCCTCGCTTCACCGAAGACAGAAAACAAATTACTCATTTCAATGTGATAGTTGCGATCTGCGTTCGATGAATGTGTTCTGGATCAGTGGTTGCCTGTTTCTCGTTCAGTGGAGCCCAAAAAAACAATATTGTTTTGAATACGCAAATAAATGGTTGTCGAACAAATATCATGATAGCTGGATAAATCTTTTGAATAGAGGATAACAAAAAATAAATTTCATATCGAACGAGCAATTTCATGGCTGTGAAGCTCGACATAATGACAGTTGGGCAATCTTTTGAATAGAAGACACACAAACTATATCGCATTTAATTACTTTACCAAGCTCTCCTTTCCCAAGCGGGATAGATAGTGAAATATGACAGGTCCTAAAGGCAAAGGAACAAATATTTAAACAAGAATTGACGGACATATTTTTTGATTACTTCCATTGGCCAGACGACTGAGAATAAACTCATTTGCGTCTGTGGTTTGAATCTCCGCGACTAACTCAGATCTTTTTGTAGTCCGATGCTCGTAACAAATAGATGACTCCTCTTCATTAAGTACATTGAGTCCAAATTTTCTTTCTCCCGAACAGGGTCTTGATTGAAAGTTTCTATCAGTCTCAAACCGCCAAGTCGATCAACCACTTCCCCCACCCACCCCTTCACAGGGCGCCTGTTGCGCAGATGAAACTGTAACTGACATTTTGATTGATGGATGAAATTAAAATGATTTTTTTCCTTGTCAACCAGTAGCCCTCATATAAAAATGTGTCTTGTCAACCGAGTCAACAATAGTAATGAGAATAAACGTCCCTGGCATTCAGAATTTCTGTGAACTTTAATTTCCATACTAATCTTAAGGCCTACGCTTAAAAAAAACCTTCAAAATTCAATTCATGAAAGGGTTGAAAAAGTCGCACCAGTTTTGTCGCTTTTAAAATTCGTAAAATCGAGGTATTTATATAACATTTTTATGATCAGAAACCACTCAAATCTCACCGGAAGTTGTCAAAGAGTACAATCTTTCCACTTCATTTATTTATCGTATTCAAAGTGAAGATTCCATGGAGACAAAAGCTTCCTTCAAAGTATTCTACAATGTTCTGTAGAATATTTACCTTTCTGCGCTTTCCGATTATGCATAATTACTTTCCGCCTTCAGAGAGTCTGAAATCAAAGAAAAGACAGAAGCGGTATTTCATTTCATCGCTCGATATCAGCCCTGGTTATAGAACACCTCAGTATTTATTTAAATTGAGTGACCGTAGATCGTCGAAAAGAGGCTAAAGAACCGGAGCACATCTCGAAAAGGTAGAGCGGGGATATTATTAACCAGCTGGTCGCTGACTTCACCACTGTGTTTACGGTGCAATTTGCACGTGGCGCCACGTTCTCTCTTGGAAGCATATCCTTGATTCAGATCTTTTTCGCTTCTATTCAGCATGTTTATGACATGTGACTCAGATGCAGCCGTATTTATATTGAACGTGTCATTAACAAGCACGTTTTGTCTTCGTCGCGAGTGTAAAAGCCTGAAGCCCGCCGTTGTGCTGCTTTTAGCCGTAAGTGATTGGTGCGCTGTTGTTATGAGATCTTTTTATCGACTTTCTCGCGATAAAGACTTGTGGTTTGTTACCTCCTGCATCTGTGAACAACCTCAAGTTCTGCTTCAAACAGGTAACTACGTCTGATATTTACCTAATCTTTACTTTCAAGTAACTGTCTGGAAGTTTCGTTTTCGTCTTAGAGATTCAAAAACGGTACACGTACAGTTATGGTTTAAAGGACAAAAGCCCTTCTTTGTTATGTCTTAACAAAACAAAGGAAAAATAAACATTCAAGATATTTGAATAACGTGGAAAAAATCTTTCCGGTTTTCAGTCGAAGTTTCGACGTACAGAAGATAAATTTTCTCATTAGCCATCGGACAAAAACCCCCTCTGACTTGAATTCCACGTCAATGGTTGTACCCCAACAAAAAAGAAAAGGACTTACAGAGAATAGAAAAGAAATTACCAAAATTTACTCATTTGTTGGCTTTCAATACCTTGTGATGTAGTCAAGGTGACAAAGAAGGCTGTCTCTATTATGCATGGACAACTGTATTGATAATTTCTCGACGACTTAAAAAACAAGATTTTGAGCAGCAAATAAGAAAAAAACAGAAGTTGTCTGCCTTTTCGAGCAAGAGCGCGAGGAAGGGAGGGGAGGGAGGGGGGGGTTCTATATTAAGACATCCTTTCATATCAGGATTTTTAACCGTTTTTGATTACGATTCAGATCATGGATATTTTCTATTCCCCAGGTATTTTCGTGCTGAACGTAGTCGTCCTTATATTAAACGATGACCTCACAGAAACGGGGCACTTCATTAAACGCAGTTCTTACGTTCATCTCCTTCTCTTCAATTCGGCTTCAATCATTCTGGCAAATGCAATAACACGCGTGATAACACAAGCTATTGGTGATGTTGAGGGAGCCCTGGAGTCGAGTTATGTGTTTGGTACGTTTCTCCTTGGCGTTTATAGAACAGTATTTCTCTTCTTGGACTCGCTTTATTTTACGTACGTGATCATCGGAGACAAGAGTAACATATGCATGCACAAATTAAGACTCGAGGAAAAGACAGTAATCACCATTATCTAAGATCACAGAAGCCTGTTCCAGGAGTTCAGTTAGTAAAACGAAGCGCGGTAGTGGAAAAAAGAGGAAGTTTGGAACTGGTCGCGTAATGAACGACTCGACCCAAGCCCCTCCCTCCCGTTTTGGCTCGGCCGCTACTATCGCGCCGTTTACACTCCGGTTTATTCGCGGAAGGCCGGGAACAGGCCACGCTCAAGGAAATTTGAAATACTTGAACTCAATTTGCTGTGATCTTTGAAATCTAATGGCGACCTACCCGAGGAAATAATTATGGGAAAGAGAGGTTAATTTGGCAGCCAAAAGATACGTACAGGTCTAGATCTGTGGTCACTAGAGGATGCAATGAGATTATGTTGGCTCGAATGGCTGTTGTGCCGAACTCCCTCGGCGCAGATATTAACTAGCACGTTGAGTGTTACTGTCTCTTTCTTTATTTTTTCAATCTTCCTTCCATCCTTGTTATAAAAATTATCATTATCGTTATTAGTACTATGATTTCAATTATAATTGTCATTAGTTTTATTGTAGTTTCTTCAATTTCCGTTTTTAATTTCTTAGCATAACAAGGTGTAATGTTGGGTAACAACAATAATTAGGAAAAGGCTTGGCACGCTTTCTAAATTTTCTCTTCTCTCTCTCTCTCATTTATCTCCTTCCTCCCCCTCTCCCGTCAATGTTTCCCAGTGTTGGTGTTAAACAAATGATCACCACCAGGTAACATTGTTGGGGGGAAGGGCTGACTTTCAAATAACTTTTTAGATAGGAATTACAGGATTTTTTATTATATTGAATGGTGGATTGTCGAGCACTTAAAAAGGAGAGCGTGCCTATTACTTTTGCCATACATTGTAGTCTACCATTAAATTTCTGAATGATAATCCCGCATTTGATATAAAGTCAAAGAGACTGACTAAGAACTTGTCAAATGATATCTGGACGACTTCGAAAACATTTTCTCAAAAATGTTTACCATGTAATGAAAAACATGGAATGGGGGAATGTCAAGCATATATTTTGAGGGAAAGTGAGACTACTTTTTCGTGGAAATAACCGTATCTGAAGCTTCCTCTGACTCGGTTGGATTTAAAAATAATTGGAAAGATGATGACTTTTGAACTCAGTCATAAAACGTAGCAAGATGTTCTTCGTCTTACAACGACCATGAGAATCGAGTCTCCACCTTTATGGCGGATAGCGCGCACCGAAGCTCTAAGGTGAGTTTGGCCCTGAGAAGGTTCATATGCGTTCATACGCGTCTTTCTTGCAGCCAGGAGACAGCAAAGTTGAAGGCGTCAAATGAGTGGAGAGAAAAAGAAATGTAGTAAGTTTCGAGAATCTTTTCTTTCCACATACTCGTGACGAGACGAATAATCACATATTTCTTCGTTAGCTGTCACTTGAAAACGATGGAGGAAACAAAGGGAATTCAAAGTGGGTTAGCTTTGTTAATGTGATCAATAAACAAAATGGTATATCAAACATTGTTCAGTTGCAGTTTTCATACGTTGCTTTCTGCCTTTTTCTTGCATGCTTCCACCCACCCTCTCCTACGCCCCACAGCTTAACCTATGTCTGGCTGTACGCCACACTGCGACAGATATGCAATTTGCAAAGTCGAAAACATAACAGTCTGTAACTCTAACCAAGAAACGAGGTTAAAAAAAAATAAACAACGGTCAAAGTTTGCGAGTCTGTTCTGTGTTTATTACGTAACAAAGAAAGGAAACAGAAACTAATATGTATCCAACATGATACCGAGAACTCATCAGTTTTGTTAACAAACAGCCCTGAAACTCAACCGAAAGCTCGTAGTTAAGGCAGCCTCTTTGACCGCAAGTTACCTCACAGTATTAGCAAAAAAGTTTCCCAGAAGTATTTTCTCAATTTTTTCCGCAATTTGCAATCCGTGTACATCGTCTCCAGTTTAACCTTTCGTTCTCCTTCGTACCACTGATCAAACTTTTCAGTGCTCCCCTACGACAGAATGAATAGAAAATCTGAAAAAAGAAAGGAGACGCGTTACACGAGAATAGGACAGGCGTGACATCGCTTCAACCTGCTAGTTGCAGAAGCTGGTAGTTCAGTGCTGAACAGAGTCTTCGGAGGACGCCTCTGATCAAAGATACAAAATCCAGTGAAATGAACAGCGCGAGAGAGCATAAGTGTTACGCTATCTTGGCATTACTCAAGCTACAGAATTTATCTCTAGTTAAATTGAAACATCAGGGGAATTTTTTAAGAAGTCATAATCCGCCACTACGCTCAGTCGATGCTTTAACTATAGCATTGGGCGGCTTAAAATTATACAGGTATAATTACTCCGACCCTCTGTTTTACGAGTCGTCAAAACCATTAAACATATCGTTACTCGGTTTCTTCAAAATAATGACCTAATTCGAATAGTGGTGGTGATTCACTTTCTGTAGAGTAGGTCGACTTTGTAATACGAGTTCGACTTCCATTTGTTTCTAAGCTCCCATGAGCGGAAATAGCTTACATGGTGCTTACTTCTGACATTTAGAACCTTGTTTTGACATTCTTAGCAAACAAAACAAAAACCGACAACTAGAGCAAGGTTTGATGCAATCCACAGTAAAAGTTGTACTTTCTACAGAGAAATGGTTCAATGCTAAGTGTACCTTCAGATAGGAAGGGATATTTTTATAAATTATATGACAAACCACAAAATGCTTCTGATAAGCAGCTCGTTTTACCATCAAAACTGCTCCGTTTTCTTAAGAAAAATTCCAACATTGCGATTGTCATGGAACAAACCGATAGCATAGGCTAATGGCATTCGAAATTATGCGCTTTCGGTGAGTAAGACAACATACTATTTACGACTCTTGTGGCATATTAATTTTCATTGCTTTTACATCATCTGATTCAACTAAATTATTCCTTCGTAGAGAGTAAATAAGTTTTTTTTTTCACTATTAAGTTGCTGGAATAATTTGCGTAGTTTTCCTAACCTAGGATTTAGATAAGTTGAAATTATTTCAATCCGATTAACGGTCGACCGAAACTTATGAAATGTGCAAAAGTAAGTATCCTTTACAGTCATACAATTGTATTTAATTGAAGTGTGATGAAAATAAAAGTTTGAGTTCTTTAACACAATTATCTCTTATTTTAGAAGTAGAGCACAATATTGGCTTGTGAGAATTTACTGCAACGATGGGGCAAAAGGCCAAGTTAAGAAAAAAAAAATCATGTTTTTTCCTGTCTACCTTTCAATCTTTAGAAGCTTACAATCATTATCGATCAACGCTGGGTGCAAAACTAGCCAGAATAAACAAACTTAAAATTAACCATAAATGAGTTGTCCCTTTAACTCAACAGTAATCCTCACAAAATCAATACATTAGTTGCTTCACTCAGTAAGAGAACAGAAGTTTGATCGCTTTGTAACACCCATTTAGAAACCTTTAACTCAACAGTAATCCTCACAAAGTCAATACATTAGTTGCTTCACTCGGTAAGAGGGCGGAAGTTTGATCGCTTTGTAACGCCCATTTAGAAACCTTTGCGTCTCTTGGAGTCAATTTTGTAGTATGACACTGAGTCACCTCCCTTACATAACCACAAAATAGCAGTAGCAAACGTAAAAGAGGGATGGTACTGGGAAAAGCCAAGGAAAATTAATGCTAAATGAAGACGGAGAAACATAACAAATGGAAACATTGATAATGACACATGTAAGTTTTTCGTTTTTCCATATCCACAATCTATGACAACGCTTCCGTAAGTCTGTTCCATACAAACGTATATAGGATTGAACTAATTCAATTCTTCTTATATTTATATAGTTATACTCGTTAATTCCAAATTGAATCATGTAATTGTTAACAGATGGATATAGTTCGTGATATTTATCAAATTCTGCCTAGCATGTGTAGATGACTTAGCAAACAAATGTATCGCTAGAGTTTATGTTTCACAAGGTCAAGTGGTTTTACTATAACCTTTTATTGACTTTCGCTAATTGCGATATTAGTTTTTACGGCAGAGGGATTTTCTGTGCTCTTTTGAGTACCAGGTCAACGCTACCCAAGGGGAACACGAAACTGTGGGTGCTCAAGAGAGAAGAGAGAAGAGAAGACGCAGAGGATATCTACCATTTTCCTTTGGAATGTAATTAAGTTTCGACGCTTTTTCTTGGGAGCAAGAAAAAAAAGCATCACTCCTTAATCCTCATTTTCGTATTCTTCTTTAGTTGTTTAGGAATTTTGGGTCATCCTCGGTTAGAGGACCTGTTGCGTTAGTGAGTGACGTGGAACTAAAAAAAGCCACAATAAAGAGCTTAAGATAATAACAGTCGCAATGATAAGTTCACAGTCTCTTCCACCCAGGTGAACCGGAGTTTTACTACTTGAAATCCCATTACTGCCACGATTGACCTTAACAAAAAACCTTGATAATTCCAAACGATTTTGAAAACAATTTGCGCAGATTGGAATGCATATGGAATGTAACAGGTTTAGAGTTAAAATTATAACTATTGACAAATTCCAAACGTACATAAATCATATGGATTATATTGCTGCAAAATTTATTCTTGCGCGTTTACTACGAAACAATTGTTTCCATGTTTTAACATATTTCTTTGCATTTTTCTGGCACAGTTAATAACTAAAACGAAAAAGTTAAGTTAAGTTAAGGCTACATTTGAGAACCTCGAAATTCGGTACTTTAATTTTAACGCTGACCGAAACTTTCTAACCTGCTACAACAAAGTCAGCTCTGATATTCCTTGGGACCTAAGGGACAATGAAGTTAGTTATGGATCATAAACACAAACTCAATTATCAAACCATTCACTCTTGAGAATTGACTGCTACAACTACAAAAGGAAGTATGATTATGTAAATCCTGTTGGTCTTAAAAAAGATCTGACAGGGCTAAAAATATTTGTGAGAATACGTCACGAATGAACATAATCTGATGACACTTCAGAGCGAAAACTGATTTAGCTGATTTCACATTTTCTCGGACAGCCTTAAACAGTTAAAAAAATAGTACAAATTTATATCGAATTGACTAATTGAGTTTATTCGAAGTGATGGACATTTATGATATATCTGTTCCCAATCAACAGGATTTGACTCCTATCACCTCTGAATGGTGCAAAATTCCTCACGTTGGTTAATGATAATTACAAAACCAAAAACAAGGAGCGAAAAGTCGTACCTGCATCAAAGATATGCGTACTTGTTAATACAAAATTTCAAAATTTTGAAGTAGAACTAACACAATTTTGGAAAAAAAATGGACTTAACGTAAAGTTTTATTTTGTCTGGGAACTACTCCATTGCTGGAAAATTTTTTTTGGGACAGAATGTGTCGTGATTGACCAGGGTTAAAAAGAAATAAAAAGGTAGAATAGGATTAACACCTTCTGCTATCAAAACATTTGATCCCGGATATTATCGTCTGCTATACGAAACTGCCATTGTCTATGAACCAGATGCCATTGAGTAACCATTTGGGTGTTAATGGAAAACAAGAAAAGCATATTCTATTACGTTCCCCTAATAGAAAGGCAACAAGAGAAAATGAGGGTGAGCGAATTGGCACTTGGTTATTCAACATTACTAAACGTGAAATTGCAAAATCTTTCTGTCTGATTGAGTCAGGTCTGAAATTCTTTTAGTTTCCTTGTAAGGTGCAAACTTGACGTTCGACAGAAAACAAGGGCAGAATGATAAGACTAAAAGCCGAAATATAAAAAACGCTACGGGCAAGGCAGAACCACGCTTATTTTCTGCAGATAACACCGTATTAAAGTTCTTCTAACAGAGTGGAATGAGGAAAAATTGAGTTATCATAGGTTATTTGAAGCAAGCCCATGAAAGAACAAAAATTAGATAATTCTATCCACCGGGATGTACCGAACTATCACCTCTTTCACCACAAGACCACTGTTAACACTACACTAGAGGAAACGTCCAATTCTAAAGGATGGTTCTTCTCATTATAACGTGATGCCAAACTTTGAAATCTACAACAAATTACAAGACCTAGAATTGCTCCGGTGAACTCGGACTTTAATGAGTAAAGCACACAGTACCCATCTGATTAACGCGGTTCTTTCCTTCGCGATGTTTAACGATCATTTGACGAATTTGCGCAAAATATCGTGATTTGTCATGGTCACTGGCGAGCTTATGAAGTGTTTGGCTAAGAGAAAGGAGAGTGGCATACAATTGATCCGCGAGACACGAATAAACAACTTTACTCGATTCCCAACTCCGAATGCATTTCTAGTTTTCTGATTGGCTCATTCAATTGCTGTTATCAGATCATATACCAAATCACATTATATGGAAAGTAATTTAATCAAGTGTTGCTAAGCTGCATTTTTGGCGGGAAGCAAGGGAGGAAGAAAGCAATGGAAACAAGTAGATGCTTTACCAATGAACGCTCTACCAGAACCTTTAGTTAC